TACGTGCATGCAATTTCTTGCTCAAAGCAGATGCCTAGAAAGTACTTGTTGCAAGAAATTGCTTTAAAATTTGCTTAAATGTAAACACTATCGCAAGTTACTGTAGCAAGTTCTATCGCAATTTTCTATCCCGTGTAAACTACCTTAGGCAGATTTCTGAAATATAGTATACAGGTTGTTAACTCGACAGTTATTTATAGGGGAACAGAATGGCAACACTGCCTATTGAGAACGCATGCATTATTGATTTTTCTGCCGACTCGTCCCGTCGCGTCGTCTATCGACGCGCGGGCCGAGGTTGTCATATTTCAACCATAAAGCTCTTGCCGCGAGTAATGAACAAATTAACAACCTGTATATCGGCCACACAGCCGCGTTACCCGATCCCTCAGAGCAACCTGAACAGTACAGCGTAACAGATTCTTAAAGCCAACTGGCAGTAAGCGCCATTAAAAAATAAAGAATAATACAAGTCAAGTAAATGACATCTAGTGCTCGACCTCGAAAAAAATATTATCGATTGTCGTTCCCCAGCCGTCTATGACGCCGTTTTTTTTTTCGATCGTATGGTATTTTTATGAGATCTCCAACAAGATTGAATTTCTTCTCCAGTGCCCCCTAAAATTTTCAGTTTCGTCTGGCCTAGAAATCCGAACAAGATCGACAAAGGAAACAAGGTTACCGTATTTACATATTATAAATTTCCGATCAAATAAAAAATAAATAAACTATAGTACGTTGTAGTGCGAGAAAAAAAACTGTTTAAAACATGATTATGTATGTATTGTTTTAATATAAAGCTGGTTTTCACGTAATGGAGAATGGCAATAATCAATGTTCATGTGTACCGATTATTTCGAGTGCAATAAATAAAGAAAAAATAATTTATATTCATTGGTAAAAAACACCGGTTTTAAACATCGTATTTTTAAATTATTAAGTTTGGGATTTTCTTTAGTAATAGTTATTTTTTATACAAGTCGATAAAATGGTATTTTATCGTCGACCAAAAAAATTAATTCACGATTAATTTCGGAAGACGATAATGCAATTTTATCGTCGTGTATATAACAATATCTTTTTCCATAGCCTTTACGTTTTAAAAAATATTCAAAAATTATTATTCCTAGGAATTTATTACGAGTAGAAAAAATATTGTGCTGGGTTGGCGTTGGTTTCTATCTAATTTGACAAATAAATAAAGCTGTCTCTTTAGTTGTCAGTTTTGAGTCAATATTTTTTAATCCTCTTTCGCGTCAGAAATGGCTCAAAACGAAATAAGTAAATTACCAACAGATATTTAGACTGAGGCGACAAACGCCATATCCAAAAACTACGTCCATTTAAATCTCGAATAACTTATGAAAAGGAATACAAACATTTTCAAAAATGGAAGCAATTAAAAAACGTGCGAGAAGAAATAAAGTTTTTAACCTATTCTCGCTGTTAAAGTATCATTTAATCTACACTTGCGGTTAAAGTACTATTTTATTTACTAAATTGTACTGAAGCTGTGGTTGGTTCCTTGTGAAACATCGTTGAAATATTAGTATTTTAATAAAGCACGCTTTTAGATGTTTCAAAAAACTTTTCTACTACTCTAACTTTCTAGTTTTTTGAAACATCTAAAAGCGTGCTTTATTAAAATACTAATATTTTATTTACTATTTTTGATATATATATAAGGCAATTTTAATAGTTGCTATGAAAAAAAAATATTTTTCATACCTTTACATGCATTTTTGTCGTGGTTTATGAACAAATTTCGAGTACACGAACGACATTTTCTGGTACCTCGGTTCATTTTAACGCGACTGGAACAACAAAAGTACCTGAAAAATCTACAGTTACGTGTTGTTTATTGTGTTTCTCGGCTTGTAACAGGTCGTATAGTAAGTAACTCGGACTGAAATTCAATGGGTTTATTCATATGGGAAGTGTCATTTAAATTGCTAATCGCAAAACTGTATTCTTTTTGTTTTGGCTGCATCGTATTGTCTTTGTTCCTTTATTCTTTTTAATGTTTTTGTATTATATTTTAATCTTGTAGTGTATTTAATTATATTAATATTACATAAGAAGGAATTATAATATAGAGGTTGCATTAGTTTTTGTAATGGTTTTAGTCATCATTACAATAAAATACAATTAAGGTTGGCAAACATCATGACTTTTTAACCAAACCAACTGTTAAAATTGCCTTATATCTATCAAAAATAGTAGATAAAATAGTACTTTAAACTCAAGGGTAGATTAAATGATACTTTAACAGCGAGGATAGGTTAAAAACGTTATTTCTTCTCGCACGTTTTTTAATTGCTTCCATTTTTGAAAATTTTTGTATTCCTTTTCATAAGTTATTCGGGATTTAAATGGAAGTAGTTTGGATATGGCGTTTCTCGCTCCAGTCTGAATATCTGTTGGTAATTTACTTATTTCGTTTTGAGCCATTTCTGGCTCCAATTCAATCAGCAATCGACGCGAAAGAGAATTAAAAAATATTGACTGAAAACTGACAACAAAGAGACAGCTTTATTTATTTGTCAAATTACATAGAAACCAACGCCAACCCAGCACAATATTTTTTTCTACCCGTAATAAATTCCTTGAAATAATAATTTCTGAATATTTTTTAAAACGTAACTCGCTATGGAAAAAGATATTGTTATATACACGACGATAAAATTGCATTATCGTCTTCCGAAATTAATCGTGAATTAATCTTTTTGGTCGACGATAAAATACCATTTTATCGACTTGTATAAAAAATAACTATTAGTAAAGAGAATCCCAAACTTAATAATTTAAAAATACGATGTTTAAAACCGGTGCTTTTTACCAATGAATATAAATTATTTTTTCTTAATTTATTGCACTCGAAATAATAATTTTTGAATATTTGTTAAAACGCTATTTAAAAAAATATTGTTTTATATAACTTTGTTTTTTTTTCTCAGGTAAGATTTCGACAGACGATGACAGAAGAAAAGCAGATGACATCCCATACCAATCTATTTATTTTACTAAAAAAAGTTTCTAATAATTTTTAAGTTAACTATGGATGGGTTTAAATATAAATCCGTCATTCGTCGCCTCTTGTTGTTTTTAACCAGTTTTATTGGTTTATTTCAAAAATGACAGTCGTATTTCAATTTTATTGGTTTGACGGAACGATGAACGATAAACGGACGCCCATGCGTATGAACTCGCCTTTAGATTTTTTAGATTTTTGACGCTTGTCAAAGTCTTGCCAAATTATAGGTTATAATTTTGTGTCAACTTTTGTCAAATACCCTGTGTTTTGGAAGATGATGCATTTTGATTCGTGTTATTACGTGTGTTTTGTGTCTTTTGAAGTCAAGTAGAGGACAAATCGAGTGAAAATTAACTGTACACCCAGAGCACAGTTTATGGTTAATACTCGCTGCCCAGACAGAAAGTCTTATACACCAATAAAGTTACCATCAATAAAGTTCGTATACCATCTCGTAGTAGATAAGTGCATCTCGAATATGGTAGAAGGATCATACTAAAGACATACTAAAAACTGGAGTAGCTGTAAAATATCGACATCCCACGATAGGTAAATAATAGATTTTAGTACTGCAGAAAAATAATATCAAACGGTACTGGTTTAAAATTTAGATTGAAGTTAATTAATCAACCTTTAAGGTATAAAATTTGGTAAGTGTTATTATTAATAAAATAGTTTGTTTTATTTATGTTGTTTTATTTATTCCTGTGGAATATTACAAATTTGTATTTGTACATAAGTTATATTAATAAATAATATAATCGTAAATGCGGGAAGTTTCCTAAAGCTTGAAAGTAAGAAATAGTTTTTTTTATATTTTTTTGGTATGTGGTATCTTGTTCCTGTTTGTTTTGTATTAACACATACCATTTTTTATTAAATAAAATAACTCCATTACATTTTTTCAGTTTTATACAGTTTTTTTTTCACAATATATTGAAGTAATCACTTGTCAGTCAAATATCAAAAGTCAGTTCATATATATTAATTTCCTGCTATGCGTTCCAGTTGTACCAACTTATTTCTTTGTAAAATCAAATAAACTACTTTGAAATTAAAATGACAGACACATCTATCACTGTCAAGGATCTTCTCGTTGAACAGACATAAAATTGCATTATCGTCTCCCGAAATCTTTTCGGTCGGCAATAAAATACCATTTTATCGTCTTGTATAAAAAATAACTATTAATAGAAAACTTACTTCCAATGAAAGTCCTATTCTAAATGGCCAAATCGCCAAAATATTCTACCCCTAAAAATATTTGCATCTATTAAGACCCTGTATAATTACTTATAAGGTATTATTTTTTATATTTCCAACGTTTGAAATTGATTAAAAAATTATTTGTAACGTTTGAAAAAAAATAGTATGTTCTATTCGGAGTAAAAATGTACTTTTTGTGCCTCCCTGTAAGATCGGTCTTGCTTTATCTACCCCGGACACCTTAAAACGCAGGACATGTCCTGTATATTCTATACTAATAGTGCTTAGTTAGTAGTGCTACATTTTGTAACAAGGGTTTTCATTTAAATTTCAAAGACTACAATCTGAATATTCTCTGACACAAATTGTGAGAATTACCACCACACTTGTTCACTATTTTTAGTATAAAATCAAGCATATTTAACATTTTGCAGATCTACAAATTGATAGAAATAAAAGCTACAACGGGATGCCTATATAGTACCGTTTTAGACGAAAAATGCATCAGTGTTTTCTACAATAATAATAATTATTGTAATGTAATTAATTTCTACAATAATAAATATTCTAATAATTGTGGGGTTTATTACATTTTTTTCCGTGTAAAATTTCACTATTTTTTAAACTGTAGATAACAATATTACATTGCAGTTCTTTTGTATGCATTTTGAAACTCGTAAAAAAATATTATTCTATAAAAGATTACATTGGGAAGTTTTATATAAAAAAATGATTTAGTTTTAAACACTTATTTACTTACTTTTATAATCTACCACTTTGGTTTTTCTGGAAATTACAAATAATTTTCCACGCTCACAACAAATGCACTTTCAAAATAAGTAGTACTTTCACCAAAAATTCGAGCGCGATAACAAAACTTTGCGACACAAAAGAAATCTCTGTCCTATTCAAAATAAGGGCAAAAAGAGTAGTCCAGCCCTGGTACTGATAAGGTCGATGGTACTTTTCTGATGTTTTCGTTGGTTTTGCGGTGCGCGTAGTGAGCGTAACTAGCGCTGAACGCGTCTAATGGTAGATGGTACTATTCTAAGTACGACCTCAGGAGGTACGACCGCCGCAAACAGAAGTTGCTGACTGATGCCGAAGAACCGGCTGATATGAAACGAACCTGCTGAAGAGAAAGAAGGAGTGTGACAAATCTACCTGGGTAATCTGATAAGTACCTGTAATCTCTTAAATATGAAAAAAACCTAAAGATAAACAAGTTTTAGATACTTAACACAGAAAACAACGCTGAACAGAGCGTTTATAATAGACGCATTTGCTAAAAACTGAAGTAACAGTAGTTATATTTATTTTGATTTTATTTTAAATTATTTTTCTGTTCTTCGTATTATCAAAGGTATTATTATTTGTTCTACCCTCTTTAAAAATGTTTACTCAATATAAAAATAAATGACAACGTTGGTGGCCAAAGGAAATATATATTATATTTCAGAAATCAGCCTAAGGCTTAGCCCGATACTGTCGCGTTAAGTCACATCTAAAATTCCAAACACACATGCTTTGATTAAGGCTTGATTAAGGTTTGCAGAGCTTCAGCATTTGCCATATAATAGCGAGCAATTTGCTACAAAACCATATAAATTATATATCGCTGTAATCACAAAACTTCAATCTATTTCCGTATTGTAACGGAATTTGAAATTATGTCTTTATTTTCGAGAAAATTTAGTCCAAACATAAGAAATATTTTATTGATGTTTGAATATCAAAATCTTAAAAATAAAGTTGTCTAAAAATGTGCTACAATACGGATATACATAGTATAATCCTTTATCTATAATTTCCTTCTTTATTTGTGTAAAAATACCTAGCCAGTTTGACATAAAACGTTAAATGCCGAACCCTTATTTTGCTACTTTTTCGGCCGTCTTTGACGCCATTTTTTCGATCGTATGATATATTCTAATGATAACATGTGCATTATTTTTAACAGATTTATTTAAGATATTTACAAAAATGAATACTACCAATATTACTTATTAAACTGTCCAGGTAAAGTGGTGAGCAGGTGTATCTAAAGTGGGGATTCCATGTTTATTTTATGCACCGTCGGTGTTCGTCAACTTTAGCCTTTTCGGTCTCTTTTCCGACGCCCTATAGAGGAATGCGCTGTATCTTATTTATCATTTTGAAGAACAGAACAGAGTGTTATGTCTACGACATTTTTAAACCGCCCCTTTAAAAGCATCTGCGTTAATTAATTCTAGAAAGATCAATTTATCTGTTGTTTTCATAATATTTCTCTATTAAAAGAGCTTTTAAAGCTGTTTATATACCATATTTCATCCATTAAACATATATTTAATATACCAAATTTATATTAACATTCATTTTATTAGCTACATTTATTTATAACATTTTTTTTATGATTTAATTTGAAATAAAAGTTAATTATTGAAGCTAAATTTTGTTTGTTCCGCCACTGTTTCCAAAGTTCTTCGTCTTTTCAGATGAGAAGACTTCAGCTGCCAATCAGGACTATGAGATTCAAATGCTGGCAGAAAGCCCAGTTCTATGGTCAAAAGGAATTTAACCACAGATTCAGGTCTGTGAAGTGAGCTAAGTCCACATAATAAAAAAGAAGAATTTTTATAGTAACCTCTCTTTTTAACTTTGATCAAACTCTGATAATGTTTTAAAAAATAAAAATCATGAAACAAAATTTGTTCAAAGACGACGATAATAATCATAATATAGAGGTTTTAAATTCGGATTTAAAAAGTAATCCAAAATGTTGCCACGGTCCTACTTTGCTGTTTTCGAGACGAACCAAAGACAGTACAAGAAAGTTTTATGCATGTTCAGCTTGCCGTGATAGAAAACTATGTAATTTTTTCTTGTGGGCCGATGAGAGTGAACAGGCATTTAAGAGGAAGTCAGAATTATGGAATAAGGAACTGTTAAACTATGTTAAAGGAATTGATCACAGAAAATTGTTTGTTACATTAAACAAGGTGGAAATGAATGAAATATGTACTGAATTTTATGAATTTAATAGGAATTGTTTTAGATTAAAGCTTTACAGCCTGAAAAACGTATTTTCTGTCAGACATGTTCGATATTTTTATTAAAAAACGTTGAAAAACATCAAGACCACCTGTTACTGAAAATTATCAGTAATTACCAATTAGATCATCCATCAGAAATTCTTCAACCACTTGATAACCCCAAAAAAGAAGCACAATACCTGTTTTCAAACAAATCGACTGAATGTATAATCAATATTTTTCGTAATTTAAAATACAAGTATTTAAAGAAATGCTCCTCTCTTTATTTCAATTTTATTTTAATAAGTTTTGATTTTAGATTTGTAATATGCATAGGAACACCAAGAATTCACGAATATATACAAGCTAACTGTGAAGACATGGATAGCATATTGCTAGATATTGATAAACGCTATCATACATTTTTTGGGCCTTTAGAATTCTGTTGGTACAATTCATTTAATAATTATTTCTTTTTTAAGGAGGGACAACAGGTTTTTAATGATTTTGTGAGAAATACTAAGTAAGTATTAAGTAATTAATTTCAACATTTTATTAATTAACTTTATAGTGGTGATAATACAGTTTTGGTAACAGATCCTCCATTTGGTGGTAGAATTGAACCTTTAGCTGAAACATTTAAGAGTATTAAACAACAATATAGACAAGTAAACAATGAAGGAAGAAATTTGCCAATATTTTGGATTTTTCCTTATTTTATGGAACCCCAACTTCAGAATTTTTTACCAGATTTAAAGATGCTTGATTATAAGGTTGAGTACGATAATCACCCGCTATTTCAAAATGGCCCTAAAGGCAGAAAACAGGGTTCACCTGTTAGAATATTTACAAATGTTGAGGCAAAGTATATAAAGAAAAATATATCTGTAATATCTGTATAACGTCTTATATTTTTAGATTAATAAAATTACCTGAAGATTCTTACAAATATTGTAAGTTTTGTAAAAAGTGGGTTTCTAACGAAAATAGTCACTGTAAATTATGTAATGATTGTACATCTAAAAATGGTGAACCTTACAAGCATTGTACTCAATGTGAAAAGTGTGTTAAACCTAATTGGAAGCATTGTAATGCTTGTAGTAGATGTACTCAAATTAATCATGTTTGTCAAGAATTAAGTTTTCTAGGAGTGAGTTTATTATATTTATTATTAAATTGTATACTAACACAACCATATAGTCTTGTTTTCAGTGTAAACAAGCTGGCCATAAGAAAAGCAACTGCCCCCAAGTTGAAAAGCAACATACACAGAAGAGAGCTGGTAAAAGAAAAAAAGGGTCTAAGAAAAAACGGAAAATAGAGTAAATTATTGCATAAAAATATTTATATTTAATAAACAATAAAATTCTATAATTCACTAACTATTTTATTTATGTAATAGTTAATATTGTCGTTCAGCTAAATAAAGCGTAAATTATACAGAATCCCCATTTAGGAAATTTAAATTTTCCCTCCTTTTCTTCTTCTAATTACTTTATTGGCCTAAGCTGCTAAGACTATCCGTTTCTTCTTTTCAATTTAGGAAATTATTTTGTTTTAAGGCTACAGCTGCCAGAGCTGTCCGGTCTTTGCTGCATTTTAACAAACGATACAGTAATTATATATGATTTTTCTTCTTTTTTAATTTATTGGCATCAAGTTTTAAGATATTTTACTAATACTCTATGGTAAACTGACATGTGTTTGTTTACGTCTGCGACGTGTCTTGTCAATTTTGACAAACCTAATTAAATTTTTAAGGAAAAATACAAATAATGGAATATTTTAAAAGCGGTTTAAAGTCTGTTTTAGGCGCTCCACCGCCTGGAACACAAATAACTGGAGCCGAAACGGTAATTTTTGTATTAGTTTCATTCATAAATTGTCTTATACTTAACCCCATCTGGTTCTACTACGTCAAAAATTGTGATAAGCCGAAGTTTTTCTTAAATTTTAAAGAAGGGCGTTAAATTTTAGGTGGAAAAGTTAGTGTCTCGAGTTAGTACTAGTACGTTGTTAGAAGATAGAAGAGATGCATGTAGAGCACTCAAAGCTATGTCCAAACAGTACCGTCTTGAAGTTGGGGCACAGGGTATGGATATACTTCGTCAAGTATTGGAACTTGATAGGAATGATTGTGAAATAACTGGGTAAATGCATTTAAATTGTCTCAACTTAAATTATTTAATAATAAATTTGATTTTAGGTATTGTCTAGATGCTTTATGCAATATCACTTCAAAGGAAGTTTTTGAAGATGAAAATCAAAGTAACATGAACATGGCTGTGAATGTTGGTGAACAGTTTTCAGAGATGTTTTTGAAAAACCAAGAAAATGTGTCATTGGTTTTGAGTTTTTTGGATGAATATGATTTTAGGTATAATTCCTCCATTCTGTATACAATATATCATGTTAATTATAATTTTTTAGAGTGAGATGGCCAGCAGTAAAACTCCTCACATCACTAACAACATGCAAACTTAAAGAAATTCAGGATATAATCTTAGTGAGTCCGATGGGGGTTTCAAAATTAATGGATTTGTTAAGCGATAATAGAGAAGTAATAAGAAATGATGCCCTTTTATTGTTAATAAATCTAACAAAATCCAATGCCAACATACAGAAAATTGTAGCTTTTGAAAACGCATTTGATAAGCTTTTAAACATCATCACTGAAGAAGTAAATTTTATTAGTTGTTTTATTTATTTTTATTCTGTTTGATAAATATATGTTTCAGGGTTATACAGATGGTGGAATTGTAGTAGAAGATTGTTTGCTGTTGATGCTGAATCTTCTAAAAAATAACACAAGCAACATCAATTTCTTTAAAGAGGGTTCATACATACAGAAATTGGCTCCAATGTTTATTTTACCAGATAATCTCGAAGAGGTTTATTTTTTACTCCTTATAATCACCTAAAATATTTTAGAATTCTTATATTTTTAGGTAGGCTGGAGTCCTCAGAAGATATCAAATTTTCACTGTGTTCTACAGTTAGTGAGAACACTCGTGTCTCCGAATAATCCCGCACAAATAATTACAAGTTGCCAAAAAACACTGAGAGATGCGGGATTATTAGAGTCTCTTTGTAATATTCTGATGGCCAGTGGTATTTAAGAAACACACTATATATTTCAAAGATTTTTATTATGTTTTTACAGGTGTTCCAGCTGATATTCTTACTGAAACAATCAACACTGTGGCAGAAGTGATTCGTGGCAATTTAACTAATCAGGAATTTTTTGCTAACGTTTTAGCACCATCAAATCCTCCAAGACCAGCATTGGTGGTTTTAATAATGTCTATGGTTAATGAGAAACAACCTTTTGCTTTAAGGTGTGCTGTGTTATATTGTTTTGAGTGTTTCCTGTATAAAAATGAAATAGGGCAAGATCTGGTGGTTCAGACACTTCTACCAAGTTCAACTGGAAATACAACAGTTACAGCAGGTAATTTTAATGATTTTTTGTCGTTTATATTAATAGAGATGCAGTGTTTTAGCAATATTTTTATTATTTTGAATAATCAATCTTAATACAGTTTGGTTATGGTACTTTCAAAGTCATTAGGATGGAGTACTATAACCAGTCAAGTTTGCCTATATTTTTTTTTTCAATTTTACTAGGAATTAATGATGTTATATAATCAATTTTATCTATCAAACTACAGTATATTATCAAAATTTTATTTCATTTAGGCCAATTGTTATGTAGCGGCTTGTTTAGTAACGATTCTTTGAGCAATTGGTTTTCTGCAGTTGCTTTGTCACACTGTCTTATAGAAAATCCAGCCCAAAAAGAGCAGTTACTAAGGGTTTTGCTAGCTACAAATTTAGGAGCTCAGCCTGTCACATTACTGAACCAGTGTGGTGTGTTTTTGCAACATACCAGCAAACTACAAGCAAAATTGGGTCAGTTTTTTTTAAATTAATTTGTTAAATCTTATCTTTTTCCTTATTTCTGTTTTTTAGGTATACTAATGTTGCTTTCTATGTGGATGGCTCATTGTCCTGCTGCAGTGAAGATTTTTTTGAATGTGCCAGGAGCAATGGCTTTTTTGACAGCCCAGACTTCAGCTAGCGAATTTGACAATAATGAGGAATTACTACAAGGTAAGTTAAAAAAGATATGTAAATATAAACATATTTTTTAATAGCCATTTTTGTTTGAAAAAAAGACAAAATATCAAAACTCATTTATAATTTGATTGATATTTTATCCCAAATATATTTTTAGGACTTTGTGCCTTCATTATGGGCCTCTGTGTCCTTTTCAACGACAATACTGTACAGAATTATTCAAAAGAAAATCTTTCTCAGCTCATTGAAAAACGAGTCTGTATAGAAACATACTGTAAAAAACTTAATGAAATATCTAGACATGAAGTTTATGCCAAAGCAGCAAAACAACCCCAAATTAAAGCCAAGCATTCCAGCGAATTATTGCTGGAATTTGAGTTTTGCAAGTTGTTCAAAGTTATGGAAGGGCTAATCATCCAAGCTTTGGGTGTTCAAAGAGATCTATCAAATGGTATATCAGAACTGAGCTTGAGTGAGCATGAAAATGCTTTGTTATTACAGTATAAAGAGTTGATTAGAGATCAGGATAAGAAATTACAAGACTTGCAGAGGAAGTTCAATCATCTTCAGAAGGAATGTAATGATTTGCAGGTATCGAAATTCAGTAAAAAGTTAAATATTTGTTGTTTGATGAGGATATTATTTTTTAGACACAAGTGGAAGAATTGCAACAAACCAATACACAATTAGTGGATCAAAATACTTTGTTAAAAGTACAGTTATCCACAGCGAATACGTCGCATGTCACGAATATCATACATGAAGTTAAATCAATGTCGCCTGAATCAGCAGAGGTAAAAATTCTTATTGAATTGAAGCACATATCAAAGAAATTTTTGATTAATTATTTTATTTTCTAATGAAAATAAATAAGATTAAGAGTGTCCTTAATTATCGATATTTTAAGATATCGATATTTTTTAAATATCGATATATTTTGAGATGTCGATATTTGCAAACATCCCTATTCATGAAAATAAACTAAAATACGGATGTGCGAAAATATCGATATTTTAAGTTTATCGATATTTTTTAATTATTGATGTACTGATATATCGATATTTGCAAAACCCCCAATTTATAAAAATAAACAAGAGTAAGAATGTTTGAAACTATCGATACTTTAATAAGTTTCAATATTTGATGAAATGTTGATTTATCGATATTTATAAAGTCCCTATTTATGAAAGTAACTAAGAGTAAGGGTGGGTGAAAATGTCGATATGTTAAGTTTTATCGATATTTTTTAAATTATTAAGTTTTATCGATATTTTTAAATTATTGATGTATTGATATTAATATTGATATATCTATATTTGAAAAAGTCCCTATTTATAAAAATAAACAAGAGTAAGAATGTTCTAAACTATCGATACTTTAATAAGTTTCGATATTTGATGAAATGTTGATTTATCGATATTTATAAAGTCCCTATTTATGAAAGTAACTAAGAGTAAGGGTGGGTGAAAATGTCGATATGTTAAGTTTTATCGATATTTTTTAAATTATTAAGTTTTATCGATATTTTTAAATTATTGATGTATTGATATTAATATTGATATATCTATATTTGAAAAAGTCCCTATTTATAAAAATAAACAAGAGTAAGAATGTTCGAAATTATCGATATTTTTAATAAGCCTCGATATTTAATGTTGTGATTAATTAAATGTTGATTTATCGGTATTTGTAAAGTCCCTATTTATGAGAGTAACCAAGAACAAGGATGTATCAAAATATCGATATTTTAAGTTTTATCCATATTTTTTAAATTATTAATATATAGATATTGATATATCGATATTTGCAAAAGTCCCTAATTATAAAAATCAACACGCGTAAGAATGTTCGAAACTATCGATATTTTATGAAATGTTAATATATCGATATTTGTAAAGTACCTATTTATGAAAGTAACTAAGAGTAAGGATGTGTGAAAGTATTGATATTTTAAAAATATCGATATGCTGATGTATCAACATCTTTGTAAAAGTAAACAAGAGTACAGATGTCCGAGAATATCGATACTTTTAAAATATCGATGTTTTGATATATCGATATTTGTAAACATTTATATTTATCAAAATAAACAGAAACAGGGACGTCGGAAAATATCGATATTTTGATATATCGATATTTGTAAACATTTATATTTATCAAAATAAACAGAAATAGGGACGTCGGAAAATATCGATATTTTGATATATCGATATTTGTAAACATTTATATTTATCAAAATAAACAGAAACAGGGACGTCGGAAAATATCGATATTTTAATATATGTCGATATGTAATATAATATATTGATATTTTCAAACGTGTTTTATATATTTTTCAGCCATATCCAGTGTTTATTCACGGAAACAACGACCTACTTTTAGACAGAATAAAAAAATTAGAAGCAGATAATGAAAGGCTTGAGAAAGTAGAATCAGAATTAGCAGAGAAAACATCAGAATTAGAAAGGTATAAGTTTAAAATATCTTAAGATATTTTTTTTATTAAAAAATTAGATACGTTTTTACACAATGAAAATTTTAACTTTACAAGATGTTTAAAGCTCCTAAAATTGTTATTTTAGTTACCAAAGAGATCAGGACGATCTTTTAGAATTACTAACGGCACAAGACACTAAATTAAACAAATTCAAAGAACGATTGAGGCAATTGGGTGCTTTATCGAGAAGCGATGAGAGTTCTTCCGATTTATCCGATAACGATAACGACAGAGATAGCGGACCATCTTTACTCTAATTTTTTAGTATTTAAGTCAAACGATTCGCAAGTATAGTTTGTCCAGCAAGAGAAAATACTATTTAGAAAGAGAACATCCAAAAAATAACAGAAAAAATGAGATTGATATATATTTGAACTAAAGTGACACATAATGTCACTAGTGTCGTATTATATTTTGCTGAACGGACTATGTACACGATGATTCATGATAATTCAAGTCATTTTCGCTGTTTATTCTTAAGGACCATTCCTAATGTAAAGCTCAGTGTTTTCTTTAATTATTTACTTTAAAAGAAAAAAAATCTACTGCAACATCGTTATTGTTGAATTTATAACCGATTTATTGAAGAACTGGGCCTAAATTATATATTTTTTGTTGTTTTTATTATTAATATATTCATTTAAATATATTTATTATTTTAAAAATAGTGTTTTATTCACAAAGAAAAAAAAACAACAAAAAAAACTTCTTTATTCAGGGTAATGACAATAATTATTAAAAAACAAAGGAACTGCTAAACAGGGGCGGATACAGAAATTCATTTTAGGGGGGCCCAAATAAACGGTGATGTAGAATATGCTTTTTAGAGCGCCATTTTTAACCCAAATGCCTAATATTTAACCCAATTTATAGATTTAAGGGGGGGGGCCCATGGCCCCCCCCCCTCTGTATCCGCCACTGCTGCTAAAGCTTATAGTAAGATTAAAGTATGGATTACAACAGGTCCATTACCAGATAAAGAGTTTTAGAGAAAATAAACAAGAGTAAGAAATTTCGAAACTATCGATATTTTTAATAAGTCTCGATATTTGATGAAATGTCGTCGATGAAAAATCGATATTTGTAAAGTCCCTATTTATGAAAGTAACCAAGAGTAAGGATGTGTGGAAATATCGATATACTGATATATTGATATATGCAAACATCTTTGTAAAAGTTAACAAGAGTACGGATGTCCGAGAATATCGATACTTATAAACATTTCTATTTATCAAAATAAACAAAAACAGGGATGTCGAAATATATCGATATTTTAACATACATATATCGATATGTAATATAATATATCGATATATCGATATTTTCAAACGTGTTTTATGTATTTTTCGTATGTCCATTGGCGGTAGACAAACCAACAGAAGTATGTCCTAGTGTCCTGTGCACAGTCAACAGTTTTTTTCATTTTTTTCAGATATCATCAAAACTATATATTTTTCACGTATAGGTTTGGTTTGGTTGTCCTATTCTTATAATTTTTTATCCATTTCTAAAGTATACTAGTTTTTCGGTAAGTTTCTTGCAAAAAGCGTGGCAGGTTTTCTTTGTTTGCCAAAATTCGAAAGAAATGGATAAAATGCATCTAGAAAACTCCTCATATACAAGGTGAATCTATCATAAGTGCAAATATTTTCAGGGTTGGTAGATCTCGATAAAAGAAACATATTTTCTCTTTACCGTTTTTCAAATAAATCCAAAATTACCCAGATATTTTACTTTGAAAATTCCAAAAAAAAATATTTTTTGCTAAAATTTTGAGAACCACCGGATCTTTTTCTGGATTTTCTTTTTTGTAGATTTAATCTACTACGGATGTTGTCATCAATCGTGTTTCTGGGGTCGAAATATACTACCCATAAAAATATTAGCACTTATTTAAGACTCATCCTGTATATGTAGCTAAAATTAAAATCATTAGATACACGAAACAACGTTGCCAAATCTTCTAATATATCCTCCAATACAACGCGACTTGGAGAGCCCTAGCCAGCAGACGAAGAACAACACATCGTTGCAGGAACGTGGAGACCAAGAAGAAAAGCCGAAGAGGTAGGCAGAGGAATGGCGAGGGGTGAGAGGCGGCCGTATGGCGGCGGCGGCGACCCAACACAGAACAGTTGAATAACGCTCCCGCTGCCGTAGTAGGCCAGGCCGTGGCTACCGCCGGGCCCCACCAGAGAGCAGCAAGGCTCAGGTGCGGCGGCCTGCGAGGCCCCGGCCTACTATGACGCTAGATTCGACGGAGACTCTTTTTTCCCATTATGTATTAACAACGGAAGAATTAATCTCAAAATGGGGGGGTAATTTCACATCAGATTGTGTTTAAAATAATTTTAAAATTATATTTTGTTTTTTGGCCATGCCTATTTTTTCGAAGACATCAGCAAAGCATAAAATGTTTGGATGACAACTGGACGCCGTTTTTTTTCGATCATGTAGAGGAATGTATGTTCTGCATGAAAAGCAATCAAAACACGCGTATTGCTTTTGTTTCATTTTTTGTTTTGTTTTTTTTTTCGTGTTGTTTACTTTTTGGTTTGAATTTTTCTTTTTTCAATTAGAATTATATTTTGTGCCTTTTGTTTAGTGTACGTACGTAGCAGATAGTTTTTGTTTTTGTCTTTTATTAATTGGAATATATTTTTAGTTGATTATTTAATATGAAGTTGTCATTTAATAACAAAATTTAAAGGTAATTAGAATAATGACATATCGTTAAAAAATGCAAGTTTAACTTTTTGGCATACAGGTTGATTCTAGGGTGTAGAGGTTCGATAAGAAGGGATTTTTTGAAATTCCAGTTCCAAGAGGGTGAAACCACCCCTCAAATATTACAATATTTTTTATTTAGGAAACGGTCAAGTTTCCGAAAAAATGCTTAAACACGTATATTTTATTTTGTTTTTTTACATATTTTAAAATTTTTTAAAAATGTATACAGGGTGTTTCGAAAAATCTGGTCATTGATTAATTACGATCCTGCTTAAAACGCTTGACGTAAAAAGCTGATTTTTGGAAAACGGATTGACTTTAGGGTGTAGAGGTTCGATAAGAAGGGATTTTTCGAAACTCGAATTCTAAGTGGGTGAAACCACCCCTCAAATATTAGAAAATTTTTTATTTAAAAACCGTTGAGTTTTTCCGAAAAAACTCTTAAACATGTATACAGATTTTATTTTGTTGTTTTACATATTTTAAGATTTTTTAAAAATTTATACAGGGTGTTTCATAAAATATGACCACTGAGTAATCACGATTCTGCTTAAACTGCTTGACGATTAAAGCTGATTTTTGGCAAACGGTTTGACTGTGGGGTGTAGAGGTTCGACAAGAAGGGGTTTCTCGAATCTCGAATTCCAAGAGGGTGAAAACGCCCCTCAAATATTACAATATTTGTTATTTAAAAAACGGCTAATCTTTCGGGAAAACGCTTGGACACGCATAATTTATTTTGTTTTTTTACATATTTTGAAATTTTTAAAAAAATCATACAGGGTGTTCCAAAAAGTTGGGTAATTTATTAACCACGATTCTGCTTAAACTGCTTGACGTAAAAAACTTATTTTTGGCAAACGGATTTTTCGAAAATCAAATTCCAACGAGATGAAACTACCCCTCAAATATTACCAAGTTATATAATAATATCGCCATATTGTTTTTTTCTCACGCTGACATAAATGTTAGAAAATTTTATCCAGTTTGTATGTTAATAGAAATTCTTGCTGTGGTTATCATCACCATTACAAATGATTAATTCGACGCGAACGAAGTCGCGGGTACACGCTAGTATCATATAAGTAACTTGAGAAAATTAGCTAAACATTTTCCAGCGTGACTTTTATGTAAGATACCACACTAGTACTATAAATAATTATTAATTTCGATTTTTGTTAAGCTAAACAGCATTTTGCCGTGTATGCGTCGCACAGTGCTTCGAACATATGGCTCTAGAGGACAAAAATGCAAAACTTCTCTTTTATTGTAGGCAATTTATTCAAACTAGGTTTATTTGACACAAATGATGAGTACTCTCATTGTACTAAATGATGATATTCTTAGTCCCACGTTTATGAAAAAAAATCTTATAAATAATAAAAATGTTGGAGCTGTGTTCCATCTAAGGAAATAATAATTTATAGTATGAAAACGGTGTAAGTATTAAATAAATCCCTGTGATAAAAAAGAATTGAAATAACATTAGAACATGATTCCTACAATATAAACCTAATATAAGATAAAAATGTTTTTCTTTAATGAGAAAGAAACATTAATGCTATATTTAATTAAAAAAAAACTTAAGATACTATAAATTTACTTTAGGACAACAAAATGCATAGATCGTAACTACTCTGATTCAGAAGAATCACTGCTGACAGAATCTTCCAAATTTATAGTATCCAAATCACAGGTAGATGAAATATCCTCACATATAAGATATTTCTGTACATCATTTTCTAATATGTTACTTTTTCGCGTTGTTGCTGTTCTTTTTGTTGGTATGAGGGGTTCGGATGTTAATAGTTTCCTCTTTAATAGACCATATCCATATATTATTTTTTCGTTTTTTTGGGTATGAGGTTTTATAATAAATTGAAAGATGGAAACTTTTTTTATGCCACGTTTCGCTCCAACATAGTGGGCTTTTTCAGGCACAAGTGGTTGTCTCATTGGACTGGAATGTTCATCAATATCTAATAAAGAACACATTTTTTGAAATACAAATAATTTTGAGTTCTTGTCCTTATGATCAAGCCAAGTATTAACCAGATCGGCATTGCTTATCAATTTTACTCCATCTGAAAATTATTATAAAATAAAGTTCGTCGTAAGCAGACGCAGGTGAACCATACAAAAATTAAAAGTGACTTAAATTAAATGAATATGACAACAAAAATATTCAATAAATACGATATGTTTTGATATGTTTTTTTTAATGCCTTTTTGAAGTTTGAAAACGTAAAATTTTTATACCCATTTAAGAATCATCTTAAAAAATAAATAAAAACTAAACAATCACGAACTTGTTTAGAAATAAATTTAAAGTACATACCTTGTTTAACAATATCCATAGTGGCTTTTAATTAAGTACGTACCGTTTAACTCCATATACAAAACTACTATGAATGTTATTCTTTTCCCTGATATAAGATAATGATCGCAAAATTTATTTTTAGCGAAAATATTTGCTAACAAAAAACGCTGTTTATGAAAAATAATATACAGGATGGTTGAACATTGCTATAAGTATAAAATTACATATTCAGATATTAGTAAATTTTAACTCTTTTTTCGATTTTTGTCCATGGGACGAAGCACTGTGCGTCGGTTGGAATCTCCGGCCGGTCAGTGGTACCCACACATATTAGGCCCAACCCGACCGCGGTACTGGTCGTACTTGTCCTCTCTCTCTTCACTCCTCAGTCTATAGCCGACCCTTGTGCTGGCAAGTGCGCGATTTTACCCATGCACACGCACCTGACAGAGAGCAAATCGAGCCCATTTCCGCAACAACTACCTGTGTTGATTTTGCGGTCAACCACTGTGACGCTTCTATTTAGGGTACCGCTACCCTTCCAGTACCACCACCTTTGTGCAGTACTTTACAAACTCGAATAACACGGTCCGTTGGTGATTTGAACGGTGGTTAAAACTTTATTGTGACTATTTTCCGGTTTCTAGGAACTCAAAATGGATTGTTACACTTCTGGACTTTCTTAATGTGAAGACGGAGGAACCAGATTAGGTAAAAAATCTTTAAATCAATTTATAATTTTATTTTATTTATAAACGTTTTTGAATTTTATATAAAATGACAGTTAAAAGAGTTTGTATTATATGCATTTCTGTCAAAAGCTTATATACATTGTCCATAAAAGGATTTAAGAAATGTAGTACTTACAGAAAGTACTATACAATAATAACAGCGCGAATATATAAATCAAGATGGCTGCGCGCTTTCATAGTGACCGTAAACTGGGATGAAGAATGAAGAATAGCCTTCTTAGTCTTCTTTTGAGTTATAGCCTTGTAACTGAAGGTTTTGCTCAGGTATATTGGTTTTTCTGGCATTGAAAATGTTAAGATATTTAAAGAATTTTCTTTAATTATATCAGGATCTTGTTTCTAGTTTTGTTATTCACCTATAGTTGATATCAGAATAATAGAAAATGGTTAAAATTAACCTCGAAGTGCATTACAGTTGGGCATTACAAAATAAAACACTAATTAGCCACAATACACCAAAACACTTCAACTTTTAACACTGTAAGATTGTTAAAAGTAAAGTATTTTGAAGATTAGCGTTTTATTTTGCTGTCGTAACACCCGAAAGGTAGAATTAACTACTATTTTCATAGGTAACCATTTTTAATATATTAAAATGACAGTTCCAGTAAATCCAGACTAGACAATAATGACAGTCAGTTATTCAAACACGATGTCCTTCAAGATTCCTCAAGATTTGTTCGTGAAAATGTCCGTCAATTGAATTCAATCGATTCAAAATTATGTTCATTCATTCATTTTGTCCTTTACTCCTACGTGGAGTATAGGGCTTCAATAAACGCTCTCCAGCGGGTTCGGTTGTTGTCAATTGATTTGACATCTCGCCATGATCGGTTTGCTACTTCGATCTCCTTTTTAATTGTCCTCTGCCATGTGTGTCTTGGACGACCAGTTCTTCTACTGCCTTGTGGATTCCACTCAATAGCTCTGCCAGCGATGTTGCCGCGTTTCGTCTTAAAATGTGACCAATCCACCTCCATTTCCTAAGTTTGATCTCGTTATACACCTGCCTCTGGTTGGTCAAGCTCCATAATCCTTATTTCTGATAGTATTTGGCTAGAATATTCGTACAATTTTTCTCACACAGCGGTTTATGAAAACTTGGAGTTTGTTAATTAATGGCGATGTAATTTTCTAGGTCTCTGTACTCTGTACCATACAGCAATACTGGCTTGATATTCGAATTGACAATTTTTTTACCTAAGAAAAATTAACGAATCAAAGCAAATTAATACTAAAATATCCCTGCAAGTGGGAGCAATAAGATTCTTAAGTTCGTGCCAAGGGCGTAGATAAGGGGGGGGGGGGTACTGGGGGACAGTACCCCCCCCCCAGCGCTTGACGAGATACGAGAATTGAAATGAAAGGATTTTTTTTAATTAATATCCGACATATAAGAACACTTTGTATGCTTTTAATTATGTTGATTTATCGTTTATAATATGTTCGACCTAATTAAAAGCACACAAAGTGTTCTTATTGGCCAGGACAGATTAGTGGGGTTAACTCTAATCAATATCCATAAAGATATTGAAAAAAATGTTGATGCTGTTATTGATAGGTTTTCCAAACAGCGTACTAGAAAACATTTCATTTTTGTTTATGTTATTTACAAATATATATTTTAATTTTTGTGTTATGTTTTTATATCTTTTTGAAGACAAAAAAATCGCCGTCGTGTTAATTCGACAAAAAAATTCCGACGGTGATTTTTTTTGCGACTTAATCATAGTACCACCCCCATAGCATACACCTATCTACGCTCCTGGTTCGTGCACAGGTTCAGCAACATTTCATCCAGATATACAGGGTGTTTCAAAACAAATGCGAAAAACTTCAGGGGCTGATTCCTTGTTTAAAATAAAGGGTAGTTTGCTTCATAAACGTTGGGTCAAAAGTCAATCATTAGGGAGATATCGCGGTACAAAGATGGCGGAAAAATAATGTTTTAATTTTTTTATCTTGAAAACGAAAAGAGATGGACTAATGAAATTTTATGGAAGCATTACTGTTATGAAAACACACTTTCTGGTAATTTTCTCACTTTTTTAAAATGAGTGGAAGGGGTTGAAATAAACTACCCCTATTATACTTGTTAACGAAATTTAAAGAAAAATCTTATCAAACACATGCAAAAAAATTAATTTGGATAGTTTAGTTTGTTTAGAAACATTTTTATCTCTTGTGTTTTTTTGGTAAAACTCACCGATTTGAAATTAAAAAATAAAATGTAAAGCATTACCCCATGTCAGGACAAAAAACATTTTTATTTTTTAATATGTACTTTTTTTATTATTTTGTACTTTCATGAATTAAAAAACAAAATTAAAAATTGTTTGGTAAATAATTTTTAAGAGGTTATCGTTCAGAAGAAAATGTAACGATATTATTACGAAATAAAAGTTTGACAGCAGCCTACTAGATTCTTTATCCAAAACTGTTTTTTGTCCTGACATAATTGTAATGCTTTACATTTTATTTTTTAATTTCAAATCGGTGAGTTTTACGAAAACAACACAAGAGATAAAAAAGTCTCTAAACAAACTAAACTATCCAATTTTTTTTTTGCATGTATTTGATAAGATTTTTCTTTAAATTTCGTTAACAAGAATGATAAGGGTAGTTTATTTCAACCCCTTCCACTTACTTTAAAAACGTGAAAAAATTACCAGAAAGTGTGTTTTCATAACAGTAATGCTTCCAAAAAATTTCATTAGTCTATCTCTTTTCGTTTTCAAGATAAAAAATAAAAACATTATTTTTTCGCCATCTTTGTACCGCGATATCTCCCTAATGGTTGGCTTTTGACCCAACGTTTATGAAGCAAACTACCCTTTATTTTGAACAAGGAATCAGCCCCTGAAGTTTTTCGCATTTGTTTTGAAACACCCTGTATAATAGTGCTGAAAAAAGCCAGCATAGAAAGCCGTCCAACACCGGGAGGCAAGCAGGGACGTATCACCAGCTTTGCCAGAACTCCAATGATAGAACATCGAGTTGGCGAGTCATCAACTCGATGGTCATGGTCAGGTCTTCACAACAGGAATTGACCTCAAATCCGAGATATATCCTCTATTATAGATCCGGAACAACACCGCTATCAGATCTAAGGAGAGACCAAGTTAAAGAGGTGGAGAAAATGAAGACAGATCCTCCAACCTCGCGGATACCTAAGCCGGAGACAAGCTCCTCGACTGTGAAGGACACGGAAGGCTATACCGTGGAAGGGTCTATACCCTCGTACCATGTCCCTCCTGCAACAGGAAGACCCCGTTTATGATGAGTTATAACTCAAGAAAGGGGGACACAATAGATCTTTAACGTCGCAGTGGTTAACCCCCCTCCACTAATATTCTATATTCTACACAGTGTTGAAAACTTGGAGCTAACGAGGAGTTAAAAACGTTAAAAACAGGTTTTAACAGATGCTATGGAAAAAACCAAGTGACCAAAAGTCAAAAAACCGAGTTTTGACCAAAAATCTAGCCATATTAATGACAATAAACCAGCATTATCATGTTTATCCTAAAAGGGTTCCTTCCTTCTATAAACATTCCCGTCTTTTCTTTGGGTTCTGCTTTTATTGAAGTGAGAAATAGCAGAAGTATGTTACTTATCGTCACTGTCTCTATAAAATTCGACCTCTAGGTAGTCAAACAGACAGATTGAAAAACATCAGTAAGATAATTTTATCAAGTTTCGACAGCGTATTGTAATTTTAAGATCGTAAACGTAATTCCAAATCAAATATTTGTTCTGTATGTAAAGGAGCGTTAGATGCATGCACAAAACTAGTGGTGCTGCATCATTCGTTTTAATGTTTTAATTGTGGTCATAATGATAACGTTAGATGATTCTTTTGGCTACTAATAGAACTGTATTAAATTTAACTGATTTTTTTAACATACATTTGGAGAAGTAAAGATATGGCTTTGCAAGAGGAGATTATGTAGAAAAATAAAAATAATTTTCCCAAAAAATGTTTTGAATTATTGTGACTAAACTCGTATATTTAGTATTCTGCGGTGGAACTGGTAGCCACACCTAACAATATATAATAATTTGTTTGAAATTTTTCCAGAATAAATATATATCAAACCGCAAAATGATATCATTATTAACAGACGCATTTTGCAATGAGAACAGCGTATCGCGGTTCGTATCGAGAGAACTGCTCACTGATTTTTTATATTCATATGAATAAGCCTTTATGCAATTGTAATTAATGCGTTTAACTGTATTTCGCGTTATAATTATATGATGATAAATGCGCTAATGGATTATAATTAAATAATCAAGAGAAGGCAATCTAAACTGAGATGCAAAAAAATCACAACGGAAAAAATTTTGGCCTAGTTTAAAATGTTATATATTTTTTTTTAGCTCTATTTCCCTTGATATTTTTAGCAAACTTTATATAAATATATATCAACTTTAACTCGTAAACTCAGTTTATTATAAACTTTATTAGTTGACTTATTACACAGGGGTAATCGAAGGGTTGTTTTTTACCTAATCTTTAAAACACCCTGTGTAGTAATTTCGTGAACTAATTTTCCTAAAACAATAATTTTCGATCAAAATCGTGTCCCCTGAATATTTTGTTTTTTGGCTCATATCAACACAAGTCTTGGTTAATTTTTAAGAACAAAATGAACTTGCCACTAACATTTTGCAATTTTTTCAATTATAGTTAATTTTTGATGTTTTTCTTCATAATGACGAGGTGACTTTGGTGATTATTGTTGTGTACGACTGAATATGGTTCTTAGTGTCGAGAATTATGCAATAGTCATTGATCTTGTTGAATGTGGTCGAAATTATGAATATTCGCTTAAAACAATACAATATATTTGCAGCTTCATTAACAGTTTGAAACGCCATCTACAGACTTAGTTATAGCAGCGGGGGGAGGCAAAGTTTTTTGTTTGTTTTTACACTTAGTTATTACAGTTATTT